AAACATTATTTGGCCAAATAATGTTTTATTAAATTATTTGCTTGATCAAGTTGCAGTCCATCCTGTTAGACTTGTTCTTACTCCTAATCAAAAGACATGTTGTTTGTTCTGTCCCTATTCATGCCAGACCTGCAAACCTTTTTGTCCATTTCCATTTGGAGTTCAGCAGGCAGGCCACAGCAAGGCAGTCTCTCTCTCTGTTCCAGTGGCTCACAGCAGGGGTCTCAGTGGCTGATCAAGGCATGCTTCTCATCCAGTCTGGGTTAATAAGTTCTGAAACTCAAGAGAAATGTGTTGCAAAAGGTCTGTTTTGCAGAAGTTTCTGAAAGGTTCTGATTTATCTTTGAGGATTCTTGAGATCTGTGTCTTTCTGCTCCAGCAGGATCTCCATCTTGTCGGAGATGGACCCCAGCTTCATGGGCAAGGGAGAGGAGGCAAAGTGAATAACGTCCTGTGTCCTCTGTGGTTTTGTCTGTACTCACAAAGAAGGGGCTGGCAAGTCACACCTCTATGGGAGTTCCTGTTACTGCTTTGGAGGCCTTGGCTAAAAAGAGGGGGGCCGCAGAGGTTCCCCAGCTGCTTTCACCAAAGCTGCGTCTTCTCTTCTGGTCATCATGTCAAGATGAAATATGGACACTGGTTCCCAATGTCTAAAAACTATGATCACGGCATATGGCACAACATGTTTCATTTGCTCACCTGCTCAGGGACTTATTGATTCAGGATTTTTTTTGCAAATTATTCCCTTTAAACAAACCAATAAACAAAACTAAGCTACTCTGGTGTTGTCTCCATTCTGTGTGCGTCTTTGACAGTATCACAGCAACCCCACTGGGATGGAATGATTACTATAATGCTTGTTACAGCTCCTGTGTATTTGTCCAGTTTCGTCTTCATAGTCAAACTTCTCTGTGCGGACGGGGCTAAATGAGGCAGAATGATTTTGAAGTTTTAAACCCCCGGTGTCCTCTCAAAGCGGATGATCAACACAATCTGTGTATGTTCCAGGTGAGATGCCAAAGCTGGTCCGTGGGATGCGTCTCTTGAACCAGGCAGATCCGTGTGCTGAGGTTCTGATACAGGAGACAGGAGAGCATGTCCTGGTGACGGCCGGGGAGGTTCACCTGCAGCGCTGCTTGGATGACCTCAGAGAGAGGTGTGTGTTTTCATCATGGCTCCTTTTCCTGCTTTGCCTCAGTAAAGCTCTCTCGTTACCTCGGTATCAGACCTGTTAGGGTCCAGGTCAGTTTTCTCAACCAGCTACCAATTTTAGTCCATGAATCAAACACTGTCTACTTTGAAGTCAAGATTGAAAACTTTTTAAAGCTTATAGTTAGAGTTGCTCAGGTTATCATATCTATAGCTATACTGCTATAGGCGTAGACTGCTGGAGGACATAGGGACCCCTTTTTCATCATTCTGCTTCATTCTATCTCTATCCTCCCATTCTGAGTAAACCATCAGCTGTCATGTTGGACTGAGAGTTACAGTGAGAAAAATAAGTATTTAACACCCAGCTTTTTTGTAAGTTCTCCAATTTAGAAATCATTGAGGGTCTGAAATTGTCATCATAGGTGCATATCCACTGTGAGAGACACAATCTATAAAAAAAAATCTAGAAATTACAATATAAGATTTTTTAACTATTAATTTGTATGATCCAGTATAAGTATTTGAACAGCTGTCTATCAGCTGGAATTCTGACCCTCAAAGAGCTTTTAGTCTTCCTTCAAAATGTCCACCTCCACTGCATTTATTCTCCTAAATTAGATGCACCTGTTTTAGGTCTTTGGCTGCATTAAGACACCTGTCCATCCCATACGATCAGTAAGAATCCAACTACTAACATGGCCAAGACCAAAGAGCTATCCAATGAGACCGGAGGCAAAATTGTTCACCTCCACAAGGCTGGAAAGGTGTTTTTTGAAGTAGAGAACAACAACCTGCCAGTTTGGTATATAGACAATTTCCTGATTCACATATTTTATAAAACACCTGAACTGATCGTTTGTTATTTTTCTTTCTTTTTTCTGTCTTATTGAGAGAAGTGGGATTTAGGCTGCCCTGCAAGGCTTTAAACCTGGGTTTGGATGGCCAAAATCCCTGCTGTAGTGTGTGCAGACTATGGGTGGAACGGTTTATGAAAACCATCCGAACCGTTTGGTTCTACTGTCTCGTTTTGGTTTGCGTGTGTTGCGTTCGGTTCACGCGCTGCTCCTTTTTCTCATAGGTGAAGCGTTTACACTCCAGAGCAGAAGGTGGCGGTACTGCGACCACAGCCAACCACCAGTAGTAAACAAGAAGAAGAAGAAGCGAAGCAGCGTAGCCGGGT